AAAAAAAAAAAAAAAAAAAAAAAAAAAAAAAAAAAAAAAAAAAAAAAAAAAAAAAAAAAAGAAAGAGAGAAAAAAGGATTCATGCCAAAGAGCCAAAACAGAAAAATCGATAAAACTCCAACCCAGATTTATAGATTTAATATATAAAATAAAATATTGAATTTCTTACAGGGAGGGTGCAAAACAGATCCCACTTACAGTAATGTGTTTGCTCTGTTTGTCCATCCAATGCATAAGCTGTGCTCGAATTCGTCCAACAGCTTCATACCATAAGGTAAGTGCACGTTCAACACCAGAAGGAGGCCATTGGCCTTTGCCGCCATCTGCCAGTGGAGCAAGGATGTTTGAAAGCATGTTGCAGAGTGCATGATGAAGCTCGCTTTTACGCTTATGTGGAGCACGATTGAGAGGGTTGGCTTTAGCCACAAAGGAGGCAGATGCATTCAGTCCACCCTCTGTCTTAACCTAAGAAATGGAGTTGACGTTATGCTATTATCTTTATATGACTTTGCATAAGTAAAAGCTATATACATACCCCAAGCTTAAGGTAGCGCATCCCATTGATGATACTAAGAGTTTCACTTCGAGCAACACTGGTGTCAATCCTACGCGTATTGAGTTCCATGAAGAAGCGTTCAGTCACAGAACTAAACCTGCAAATAATAACACAACAGAGCATAAATGTTTTTAACCCTTTTTTATTAAAGTAACATGGCAATATACATAAGTTCATGGAGAGAGAAGGGCAAAGCAAAACTCTTTCATACTAATACTAAAATGTCAAAATAAAGCAAGCATCAAATGACATGCATGCTTGATCAACAAAAGCTTATGTAAACCTGATAATTACTTTTAAAATATAACAAGCAAAAAATCCAATTCAAACAATTTTCAAATGTTAAAACACAATTGTTTACCTGATGCGAGACAAAGCACCTAAAAGTTGTGCAACAAGATCCAAAAGAAGCCCCCGCAAATCAACTAACGACGGATATTCAACCTGGCTAACAACCCTGCAATGACATTTAATCGAACCTAAAATTTTGTTTGCTTTCAGTCACGAAAACAAAAGGTATATAAGCACCAAGCAATTCCCCCTAGACAATCTGCCTATATCTGGACATCAAAGTCATTGTCTAATAATGACAATAGGCCATGCCTAAATAAAAAACGGGAATAATTCTAATAACAATACTTATAAGTCACTTGTAAAAAAAGATAAAAAAAAATAATAATTATAATAATAACAACGTGCAAGCTGAATTTCAGTGCAATCATCAGACTTTTTAAAAAAAAAAAAAAAAAAAAAAAAAAAAAAAAAAAAAAAAAAAAAAA